CTGAGGCAGGAGAATGGCGTGAACCCGGGAGGCGGAGCTTGCAGTGAGCCGAGATCGCACCACTGCACTCCAGCCTGGGTGACACAGCAAGACTCCGTCTCAAAAAAAAAAAAAATTATAACACCCGCAAGTTATTACACTATATATTGTAAATATAATATCTTTCATATAATATAGTATACATTATAGTGATATGTGGTGATACGTTAACATATTTTATTATATAATTATGTTCCTTATATGTGTAATATATGATGTGAACATGTTTAATGTAATTGAAATGATAGATCTGAAATTCTCCATGGCAAATCATATCTTTTTATTTGTATATGCATGTATGGGAATCTGTGCATTTCTAATGCTCATTCTAATTATTTCTCCCCATTGAAGTTCACAAGACTGGAGGCTATTTCTCCTCATTCACGATGCGTCAAATCCGGAGCCTTCAGTGCCTGTCACAGTCCCTGTGGGGACAAAATACTTCCTCAGTATTAATAGCAGCATCCCTCCTTTGGGGTTTTCTAATCAGCACTGATGTCAGCGCCGTGTCTACCTGAACTCAAGTCTCCCCTAAACGATTCTACCAGGACAGTTATTTTACTGCCTATGTTTCACATGAGGAATTTGGGACACAGGAGGTTTGGGTGAGTCACCATCAGGCATAGAGCCGGGGAGTGGCAGAACCACCGGGATTTGAACCATGAACCCAGCAATCTGGCTACAGGAGGGTCTGTCCTCATAACCTTTATATGTCACTGCATGAAAGGTGAGAGAGGAGAGAGGGAAGGAGAGGGAGAGAGAGAGAGAAAGAGAGGGTAGATATTCCCGCAGACAGAAGGCTAATAAAAACCAGACACAGGACTTGAACCAGGTCAGCTGGACTCAGAAGCACATCCGGTCCCGCTCAGGCAGCCCAGGAGCCTCTGAGGGGGTCCGGATGGAGCACAGCATGGCTCCTCCCACCTCCCCATGTGGCTTCAGCCCCTGGTCCCGCCTGTCTGAGCTCACAGCCCGAGCCTCACAGGCCGTCACTGGGTGACCAAGGACGACCACTCTGGTGATGAGAACACAGGTGGGGAAGGGTCCGCAGATGTCTTATGACCCCGTGTCCTCCCCTGGGAGGTTCTGGGCACAGATCACAGGAGGAGATGGACAACTTGAGACCCAGGGACTTGGGGCAGCTTCACTTCCATCACACAGAGTCCAGGGCCAGAGCCAGGGGCAGCTTCTCTCCCATCACAGAGTCCAGGGCAGAGCCAGATGGAAGGGAAGCCTCATGGCTTCATCCTGGTCACCATTCACAGGCTACGTCCCCTCCCTGTGGCACCCTCCTCTTACGGGACCTTACTCCACTGTTCAGGCCTCCCCCGGAGATCAGAGAGCCAATAGGAGCATCACCGTCCCTCTTTGGGTGTCCCAGGTTGGAGGTGAGTTCTAAGTCCCTCCATCAGGTGCAGAGCGGGGTGAATGGTGAGGCCACGCCCACAAGGGGGCAGCGTGGAGCTCGGGAGAGGCTGAAAGTCTGGGGTGGGGCTGCCCGGGTGGGTGGCCCCTGCCCCTGCCCCTGCCCCTGCCCCTTCATAGCTTTGTGACTTTAAGCAAGAAACTTTAGTTTATGTTTTGCGTATTACAGAGGAGGAGGAGTTAGAGAACCAGACTAGTACCTCCCCCGTGCACTAAGTGTTTTCCACAGTTCCTGGCATGGAACGAGGTTGCAATCACGGTACCATTGTTGCTATGGTCTCTAGGAGCATTAGCCACCTCCCAGAGCCAGGCGGGTGTCAGTTCCTTCCCGTGGCCTCCCTAGACCTTGACTCCAAGCCCAGGGCCGAGGGCTGGACTCGGAGCTGCGTCCCCAGCACAGATCCCACTGCAATCCCTTCCGGCTGAGGACCCTGCTACTGACCAGCTGAGGAGTCGGGCTCTGTGACGGGGGAGTCCGTGTCTCCAGAGGTTTCTGTGAACAG